TCCGCCGGAAAAGAGGGTAATTTTGGTAGTGATATAAGTCTTTTGTTCTATCTTATCGTGTACGACATACGCTCTAGGAAGGTATACCCATGTTTAAGTTAGTCTACGAAAACGAGATTCTAATGACCTGACCTGATCAGAACCATCGATCTAACGATTAACATGGTAATCTTTCCGTCAACTATCTTACTCTCGTCATTTTAAAAATTTCCCCGTAAAAAGATGGGTGGCATCTATCATATTATTGGCGTTAAATAATCTCTTTCCTTTTTCTCACACGGTATCAATTTTACCGATCAACAAAAATCCACATTAACTGGTTTGTGTCGGTTTTTGCATCATTTATGTTGTTCAGTTTTGTTTTCCAATTCTTTTAAAGTTTTGGTTAGTAAAATCTAATGATTCAGATGTATCCAATTGTAACAATGAGATTCATTTATTAGCGGGTAAGATGTATGGTACTCATTTGCTTTGATTTGGTTTTAGTCTTAAAATACAGAATGCGTGAACGTAGAAACAGATTTAATTAACGTATAAAATGAAATTATATATATTTTCCAAAGACGAAATCCTAAGTATATCGTACATTTCTAGTTCACTAGAATGTTAAGAAGGGAGACTCGGGTTTGAATTAGTCGCCTAAAAAGAGAATCCAACCCGTCCTCATATATCTCGATCTGAAGATCAAGATTCACTAAGCTCTCCATTACAATCTGTACTTCAACAGCCTTATTCTCATTGTTCTTGACTGTTTTCTGTAAAGAATGAAGTGCGACATCTATCTGATCGTTATCGTTAACAATCTCTTGATTTTCGTGACAGTCTGGCCTAGTGGTGGACATCAATTTCGCGATGAACGAGAACCCATAATATGCCACGGGTTTAGTTTTACCAAATAAACAAAGCAAAAGAGCTCGGAACATGGAGATGGTGGCAGTGACAATCTCTCTTAGAACTCCAACCACGATTGACAAATGATGATCTTCTCCATATTCAAGAAACAATTTAGAATCCTTTTCCATTTGCTCCAATGATCCAAGGCTCTTGGCGATGTTCTTCTTGGATTTGTTCCGATACAAAACGTAATCAGAAAGATGATCAGCTTCGCAGCTCCCTTTTCTTCGAATCACAGATTGAAGGGTTCGGACATTTTCCTTCATTGGAGTAAGAAACCCCATGAGTTTGCTGTAATAATCAAGCACACCAGTAGATCCAGTAAGTGCATCTTCAACTAGGGCTTTATTTCTATAATCAAGATTCACCTGTTGAATCAGAGATGAACCAATAAGCCGATCAACAGAAAGATACAAGTCAACTAAGCACACAAAGCCAGTTTGAATGCTTTCAGATGAGTAGAAAGGTAGAAGTGTTTTAAGCTTTTTGAGATTGATTTCAAACTGAGAAGAAGATGGGGTGCTTAACCTACAAGGCAAACTGATTGATCTAACCTGAGGATTGCTTGAGTTCTCCATGTTTGAAGCTTTGGTGTATTGAAGTATGGTAATGGTGACAATTAACTTCACTCATATTTATAACCATTTTTCAAAAAAGGTGATATTTGTCTTTTTATGAGATATCATGGAAAGTCGATCCATTTTGTAGGTTCATGTGATGCTACTTGAATTTCTTCCTTTTTAGCAACAATAACATTTATGAACTTACGGAAAGAAAAGTCAAGTGGTATACATATTCGAAAAATCAAACAACATATATCGATACATACAGTAATGAAATCATCGATGATGTGAGGGCTCTTGTGAATGACTCGGGAAAATGAGTGGATGAGAAAAAGGAAGCATCAAACAAAGACGAAGATGGTTTAAACGTCAAAATAATTTTTAAGTTGAATAAACAGGCTGAAAACATAAAAGATGACGAACATAGGAGATCAAGATGGATAAAGATTTAAGCAACAGAGCATTGTGTTTTGGGGTATCAGGAATTTTGAAGGGAAAGTCAACCATTCACTATGACAATACAAATTTCAAACACGATTTTTGTAATGTCATTCAGTCTAAAATCGTCTCCTAGTGATTTCTAAACAATTTTTAAAGAACACTCCAGTGTAAAATATAGAATATTTATTTACAAAGTGAAAAAGCTATTAGTTTTCATATTTATTTTTATGGTTTAATTTCTATTGACTTCAGTCAATTGGAAGTAGAAATCTTGATAGTTTTCTTAATATTTAACAAAATTATTTTTACTAATTTAAAAAACCTAAAAATCTCTTTGTGGCCACGAAGGTTCAAATACAATGACTCTAGACTATCTGTAAAACAGATGGTCGTCCTAAAATTAGTCGGTTCGCATAGTGGGTTGGATATCCAAGTTAATAAAAAAAACTAAAAAAATAATTGAAAATTGGAGGATCAAGTGGTTAAACCAAATGGGACCCTATAATAAATTAAGCAAAAATACAAAAAGTTGGATGCCCAAGTGGTTTCATGATTGTTAGATGGAATGGATCCATCGGGATGGAGACTGAAATCAGACAAACACATTAAACTATTTTGGACAACACCAAATTTATCGATTCATAAACTACGGAAATGAATCGATAAATAAAATTGTAATATTTATTCAATTATTAAATAACATCTTGATTGATATGTATTTTTTAAGTTCTGAATATTCTGATTTTAGGATTTCGTTATGCTATTCATTCCAATTGACATATTGGTTTCGATTGCATACCATTTTTAACGGTTTTCGTTTCTATGACGTAGTGATCAGAATTACGATTTTAAACAATATTGACATAAATTTTTTAAAGTATTTTATTTAGACCTACTACCCATTGAGAATAAACCTAGCTTACGTTGAAGACTTGTTCGTATGGCTTAAATGCCTCGAAAAATAGAGGGATTTTGACGTTTTTGGTATATCATGAAAAGTCAAATATATGAGTTGTAATTATAATAGTTGGATTTCTTTCTTTTTTTAAGAATAATATCTGTAAGTTAAGATAGACGTTCAAACAATAGTATAGGGAAGATATTGATATAGAGAATATTGAAAATGTGGGGATTTCATGTGAATAATGCCGAAAAAAGAGTGGATGAAAGAAGTGAACTATTTAACACATACACGGATAAAAAGATCTAAGGTTGTTGAGAATCAAAATATCTTTTAAACTAAATAAGAAAATGAAAAAAAATGAAGATATTTGTAATTGATCTCTAAGAAACTCGTGTTGCAAGTGAAAAACATGAATCAAGGACAACATAGCTGTAAAGATCGTTAAACTTTGAATGAATATTCAGGATACACGTAATTCTAAAGAAAATTTAAACACTTTAGTAGTTTACGCAACGTATAGTTTTTGATATATATATATATATATACACACACGCACACACACATATGACTTAATAATTTAAGAGTTATATAATTTATAAGATCCATCATAAATCATTAATTTAAGATAATTAATCTTTTAAATAATGAGATATTAAATGTATTTTGTAAGAAAATATTCAAATTCCAATAACCTCTCATTTCCTCTCCTCTCTTCAATAACATACACAAATATGCACAATTAAATATGTACACAAGGTGAACACACTGTAAACACAATTAAACAAACTAAAGAAATTTCGTCCTAGGGTGTTTACAATATATTCACAAGATATACCTAATCTCGTAAATTTAAAGCATGTTCACAATATTGTTCACAAATTATGATAAGAATTTTCAAAAAAATGTTCATAATAATATTTACCTTGTATGGATATTTAATTATGAGAGTGTGTGTATGTTAGGAAGACAGGGAAGGAAAAAAAATAGGAAGAGAATCCCTCTATTTTAAATTATGAGAGTGTGTGCATATTTAATTATGAGAGTGTGTGCATATTTAATGAAATCATCGATGATGTGGGGGCTCTTGTGAATGACTCGGGAAAACGAGTGGATGAGAAAAAGGAAGCATCAAACAAAGACGAAGATGGTTTAAACGCCAAAATGATTTTTAAGTTGAATAAACAGGCTGAAAACATAAAAGATGACGAACATGGGAGATCAAGATGGATAAAGATTTAAGCAACAGAGCATTATGTTTTGGGGTATCAGGAATTCTGAAGGGAAAGTCGACCATTATGACAATACAAATTTCAAACACGATTTTTACTAGAGGTGAGTATAGCGGGTACTCGTCCTATTTGACATGAACCGGAACTGGTTAGAGCGGTTCTTGAATTTTTGGAACCGGAACCAGTTCCCGTTCCGGATACCCGTTTCCTAAAATATTAAAATTTTGTTATTTAGAAATAAAAAATAAAATATTGTCAAAACATTAAATAAATAAACAAAAATACAAATTATACGGAATAATGGTTACAAATATTGTTTAACGATTACAAACCATAATATATTAATGGTAAATGTTGAAAATTTAACGATTACATACTATAATTGTAAATGTTCAAAGTTTAACGATTACATACTACGAATCCAATTAAGCATACAATTTGAAAAAATACAAATCATTTTATCTCAAATTCTGAATCTGGTTTCAACTTCTTGCATACTCATTGCATCCTCAACCTTGTATGATACCTGTGAATAATTGAGTGTTAAAAAAACTACACAAACTCGTAAAAAAATGCACATATTTTTAACAAAAAACTACATAAATTTTATATATAAAAACTGCACAAACTTTGTATACAAAACTGCACAAATTATATAAAAAAACTGCACAAATTATATAAAAAACTACACAAATTATATAAAAATTATTATTTTTTAATTGAAAATTACCGGGTACCCACCGGCTCCGGTTCCGGTTCAGGGTACCTGCCGGTTCCGGATACCCGGCAGGTAACAGTTCCGAAAAATCGAGAACCGGAGCCATTGTCAATCGGTTCCGTATTTTAGGAACCGGAACCACTCATATCGGTTCCGGTTCCGAAATCGTCAGTTTCGGTTCCGTAAGTGGATATTCGTTCCGCTGTTCGCTCCTAATTATTATAACGTCATTCAGTCTTAGAAATGTTTTAGAAAATCGTCTCCTAGTGACTTCTAAACAATTTCATATTTATTTTAATGGTTTAATTTCTATCGACTCCAATCAATTGGAAGTAGAAATCTTGATAGTTTTCTGATATTTAACAAAATTATTTTTATTAATTTAAAAAACCTAAAAATAATTGAAAATTGGAGGATCAAGTGGGACCCCATAATAAATTTAGCAATAAATACAAAAAGTTGGATGCACAAGTGGTTTCATGATTGTTAGATGGAATGGATCCATCGGGATGCAGACTGAAATCAGACAAACACATTAAATATCTTCGACAACACGAAATTTATCGATTCATAAACTACCGGAAATGAATCGATAAATAATATTGTAATATTTATTCAGTTACTAAATAACGTCTTGATTGATACATGTTTTTTAAGTTCTGAATATCTTGATTTTAGGATTTCTTTATGCTATTCATCTCAATTGACATATTGGTTTAGATTGCATGCCATTTTTAACGGTTTTGGTTTCTATGACGTAGTAAGAATTACGATTTTAAACATATTGACATTAGTATTTTGAAGTATGTTATTTAGACCTACTACCTAGTGGGAATCAACCTAGCTTACGTTGAAGAGTTGTTCGTGTGGCTTAAATGCCTCGAAATAGAGGGATTTTGACGTTTTTGGGATATCATGAAAAGTCAAATATATGAGTTGTAATTATCGTAGTTGGATTTCTTTCTTTTTTAAGAATAATATCTTTAAGTTAAGAGAGACGTTCAAACAATGGTATATGGAAAATATTGATATAGAGAATATTGAAATCATAAACAATATGGGGATCTCGTGTGAGTAATGCTGGAAAAAGAGTGGATGAAAGAAGTGAACTATTTAACACAGACACGGATAAAAAGATCTAAGGTTGTTGAGAATCAAAATATCTTTTATATTACACTAAATAAGAAAATGAAAAAATGAAGATATTTGTAATTGATCTCTAAGAAACTCGGGTTGCAAGTGAAAAATATGAATCAAAAACCTCATAGCTGGAAAGATCACTAAACTTTGAACGGATACTCAGGATACACGTAATTCTAAAGAAAATTTAAACACTTTAGTTGTTTATGCAACGTATAGTTTTTGATATATATATATATATATATATATATATATGCATGCACACACACACACATATGACTTAATGATTTAAGAACTGTATAATTTATAAGATCCATCATAAATCACTAATTTAAGATAATTAATCTTTTGATATTAAATGTATTTTGTAAGAAAAAATTCAAATTCCAAAAATCTCTCCTCTCCTCTCCTCTCTTCTATAGCATACACAAACATGCACAATTAAATATGTACACAAGGTGAACACACTGTAAACACAATTAAACAAACTAAATAAATTTCTTCGTAGGATGTTTATAATATTTTCGCAAGCTATACCTAATCTCGTAAATTTAAAATGTGTTCACAATATTGTTCACAAATTATGATAAGATTTTTTTTTTAATAT